CGACATCTCACAACCGTGTGGGACTCCACGGCTTGTCACAGGGATGCCTTTTTCTTTCTTATCGCCGAAATACAATTTATTTTACTCCATGCATCACTACCCTCTGTAAATATACACATTTGTTTAGCCATCAGGAAACCCTGCAGGAGAGTTTGTTTATACTGTATTATAATGTATGCGCAGTGGTATACAACACATCTTTGCCCCTTTCTGCATGACCATGGCTTGCTAATGTGCAAGTCGCAGATATTTTTTGTGATCTGACTGATTTATCCGTTTTGTCTTGTATTGTCTGAGGTCATGCGATTGTTTTATGACCCACATACAGCAGCAGTCTGCAACCAGACTAAAATTATTTGTCAGGCAGTGAAGATGTGTGAACGGAGACTTGTACACATCATAGTAATGTTGGGATTGTGATTTCAGACCTGTCACCCTCGTTACACATTTACAGGTTTGCGCAAATCACAGAGCACGCTCCTGTAATATATTGTCAGAATATCGCTGTCTGATCGCTTCCTAGATTGCCCCTGACTCCATATTTACATAACTGTGACCAAGAATTACGTCGATCACCCATTCTGCTAACCAGAATTAGCTTCCTTCACCGAACCCATTGGACTGTAATGCTAGAATTGTATGTAGCCGAACTGACTGCATGGAGTGGAATCCTTGAAAAACTGATAGTCGCTCTTTTTTTTTTAATTCGCTTAGTGGGGGTTGGAGTCCAACTGGGTCCACTCGGCACGGCGGCCACTGATTGGCCTATTGTAGCCTGCCCCGGGTGATTATGATGGAGAATTTAGTGGAATGAAGATTGGCAAGGGAAACCGAAGTACTCGGTAAAATCCGCCCCAGCGCCACTTTGTCCACTACAAATCCCACTTGACCAGACCCGGGATCGAACCCGGGCCGCCGCGGTGGGAAGCCAGCAACTAACCGCTTGAGCTATGGCGCGGCCATAGTCTCTCAATTACTTAAGAAATTAGTTGATAATGAATTAAAGAAGCGGGAGATATAGTCATTGTGTCAGAAGCCATTTTGCTTTCATGCTAGGTCATTTTCACTGGTTGGCCCAGTGGCCTTGTTGATACTTGCCTCCGGAGATCAGCGTTCTACATATAGTTGCGTTTTACATTGGTATCATCTGGTGACTTGTTATTTCCGAAACCAGGTGGTCATTGTGCTTTAGAAGTCGTTTAAGTAGCGGATGTGACTCTGTGATCTTAAAAGTTTTTCAGGCTTTGCAAACATGAATGTTCATGATTGTTTCGCACCGAAAAGAAAATTACCTTTTCATAATGTAAAAGTTAGTAACCATGTTTTTTTAACTCCAGCATAATTAGATACGTTTTGAAGAATTTTAAGCAGTCGAATATTGTGGTAAAATGATAGGAGAGCTTGCATTTTTAGGTCATCGAGGTGCTTTAGTGTACTCATAAGATCAGTAGGAATCAGAGAATATCAGAGAAATCAAGTTTTTATCGGAAGTTTGACAAATCAAAGATAATGTGATACGGATTTCTGTAATAATGTTAGTAGATTTCATCAGCGAGGATTCGGTAAATAGAGTAAGCATAGTTCTCAAAGCCAATCGAAAAGAGAATTTAAATTGGAAAATTTAACTAAAATTGGAAAATTCTCTGCTTACTTTCACGCATTTAGAAAGAAGGAATGCCCTCAGGAGGAAGAGAGAAATGTACGTGACTTGTGTAGACAAAGTTTTCCAAATTCGGTACTGAAACTGCCTCCAGGAATCGGATGAAGTTATGAATTACGTTATAGTTCTTCNAAAGATGTATATAATTTTGACTCATCTATAGCGAACAGTGCACGTGGGAATTCCCAGACTATGAACTTAAAATTACAGAATACACACTTTGTCGACGTTGGTAGAGATGGGTAGCAGTGTGTTCAGATTCTGAGCTGTTTTTATTTTAGTGGTTCACAATTCGCACGACCCTCGTTTTTCCTTCCTCCAACAGCTCACTCGCTGTAGCGACTATGCTACGGGTTAGATGACGGGGAAATCAGGGCTCGGTTCCCGGAAGGGCCAAGAGATTTTTTTTTCAAACTTTAGTCTCTAGAGCCTACGGAACCTCCAGTACAATGGTTGCCGAGAGTTATTTTCCCGGGGTGAAGCTGTCGGGGCGCGAAGCTGACCACTCACCTTCATCCAGTGCCGAGGTTAAGAATGGTGGAGTTACACATCCAGTCCACTGTACGTCTTCATGGCGCGGTACTTAATTAAGACCAGGGATAACTTATCTTTACCATAAGTAGGTCACACATAGTAGATATGTAAATGGCTTCATATTAATTATTTCTACCTTCGTTACCCTGGAATGTGTTTAGCTTTGCTGGTGTGTATTATTAGCATGCGTCTTCCTTTGATCATTGTTAGAATCAAACTTTAATTTAGGCTTATGTACTTAAACGTACATTTCCACTCTATTCATAATGTCTGATAACAGTGTGCTTGGGCCTAAGGAAGAGGAAGTAACAGGAGGCTGGAGAAACTTATATGACGAAGATCATCGGAATTTGTACTCCCCACAACAAATCAGTAGAGATGGGCAGTGTATGTAGCACGTAGGAGGACATAAATGAATATATTTTGGTCGGCAAATCTCATGGTCAGAGACCTTAATGTACGTTGGAAGATAATATGAGAATGGAACTTGGAGAAAGAGAGTTTGGAAACCATGATTCACCAGGCTCAGAGTCAGGTTTAATGGCTGGCTTTTTGAACGCGTCAGTAAACCATCGGATTATATTAAGGTGAATTTTTTTTTCAGCTGAAGAATTGTCATCTATTTCAAATCATGAGTTTTGGTATAAAATTGAAATTATAAATACAGGTACAAGGAAAATCTCTCGTTATGCAGTACGAATACTCGTCTGCTGTTTTGTATCGTGGTGTGCTGTCCCTTTAACATATGACAATACGCAAGTAGGAAGAATTTCAAAATGAAATCATAAGGAAGAACATTCGAACCTAAAAGAGACGAGGTTTGGAATGGAATTCTCTTCGAGTATTATGTGTAAGAGGCAGGGCTAGGCATGTAAAGCGGAGAGTAGCTTGAAACTTGCGTAGAATGTTGGGGAGGAAATCTGAAAGACCGAGTTGGATGATATATATTAAAGTGTTACGAAAGTAAGTGTTGGTGGCGTAAATTTGTTCTGGAACATGCCCAGTGGCTAATTTTTTTAGGGCTATGGAACATTCAGGTTCAAAAACTTATTACTTGGTTTGCGTAATCTGTGAATTGGATCTAATTTGTTGACATGCGATATAATTTTGTAAGCAGGTACGTAAGCGCGTCTTTCTTCGTATCTGGCCTCAGTTCGATTCTAGCTTCAGTGGAAGATACTTAATGCTTTCCCTTATTACTCACGGTAGCTAAATAAATATGTCTTCATTATACAGTTTTTTTTCGTATTTCTGGATGCTTACGTTTTTTAAACCATTGGCATACCTTGACGTTTCCAGGACGTCCGCTCTTTCGGATATTACTAGCTACTTTGACGGATGCGAAAATTTAATGGAAGAAAGTAGACGTGGTCTCGCCGTTGGACAGTACATGTACGCCCATCCAGAAGTTTCGTAATAGACTCGCAGAAGTACCCTTCTTCGTCTGGGGTATGGTAGTTATTTAGAGAGGGTGGGTTTCCCCATGCACCGCGACCAGTTTGATCTATTGTGCTTCCCTCTATGATATTCTACCAGTCTCTATACCCTACCGATAAATGGTGCGTACCATCAGTCCCGCCGAGCAAGCGAGTTCGGTCACTTGCTTAGCGGTGTCTATAATGCTTCCCCCATCTACCGGAGGTATTAGTGACTGCTGTTGGGCGGGAAACGTCCGCAATTTTGGCTCAATGATCCCCTTTGTAGATATGTGGTTCTTTTACGTGCCGTAAAGCTACGACACGGGACCCACGGCTTAAAGTCCCTCCCGGAGGACTTGTTCACAGAATTTTTCCGCCCTTGAAAATTTGACGACCTCCGCCGGGTATTTGAACCCACGTACTACGAGTCATGAGGTGGGAACGTTACCTCTAGACTACGGAGGCCGCTCTGGGGTATGGTATGGTTTGTTTGGTTATCTGTATCACAGTACATAGTGAAACTTTAGAAAAAAAAAACTACTCGCCATTGATTTTCTGTTCATCAGTGGTGTAAGGACGACGGAATGATCTGTTAACACACACTGTAACAAGAACCGAAACGCTGCACTGTAAGGTGCAACACAGGACATAGTAATTAATTAACCCAAGCACGTAATTTTAGCAGATAGTGTGACGATGTATAATGTTGAAAATTAATTAAAAAAACATGGGTGCTTGTCGAGATATTCCACCGTGTCCGTAAAATGGAATTGGGAAAATTCATACACGGGGAAATGTTCCTAGAGTGTGCTGTAAATTTCATGTAAGCGTGGCATCTGTGACTAACAAGTAATAGTGACCAGGGACTGTTTTTCGTCGCAATATTTAAGTACCAAAATCAGAAGAAATTATAGGAGTATAGGCCTGCTCCAGTAATTTAATCATCGGAATGAGGATTCGAAGCGAACCCAATACTGTCACAACGCCGTAGCAGGCTCGGCTGTTGTATAGTACAGTAAATTTTATAGTACATCCTGTCCCGCAGTATAATGCGGGAAATTGACACGTTACTGACCGGGACGTTACATATTCGATGCGAGGTATTTAGTTGCAAAGATTTGAAATTTTGTACGTATTTTGAGGAAGGGAAATGAAGCAGCGCATTAGAGGATTAAATCTCTGGACTAGGAATTCGCGGACATATTACGTGGGTTCCTTACGTCCATGACAACCAGTAGTGTGCGTCCAGTAGAATTGTGTAGGGTGGGCGGTATCGATCACCCCCACGGCGACTTTCTGTGGAGAAACTTGCGCTGTGGGTGCGTTTCTTCTGACCAGTAAATCGTAGTAACCAGTCATTGTGTCTTTCGGTTACGTCTCCTTCAGACCTGAAAGCAGTATTCTTGTTTCATCAGTCGTTCAGCCAGTATACGTTTCCGAATTTGACGTCGCTACTTGATACCCATCACTGTTTGGACCATGCTACAAACCACAGTCCCGTCCCGTTACACGGCTTTTGTGGTGTGGTGAGAGTGAGTTTTGAAGAGGGAGAATTTTCACCAAAGGTGCCAAGTGATTCCAGCAGCCGTCTGTTAGGTGAGCATTTGAAAGGTGTGGTGTACCTTTGCCAGCACCATCTCATCTGGTCTGTGTATGAACCTTGTTTCGTAAATAACATAGTGACGTAATAACCTCGGCGAGGAATTGATGGAACGGAAGTGCTCAAATTAGTATATATGTGCTGCATGCATATCAGTCATACTACCGTATGTGACAGGTCACGATGCCTTAATTTATTTTGAATTACGCCCAATTGTATGAAAGAGTACCTCATAATCGGCACCGGTTAAGTGAGGTGTCTTCTTTTGCAGCGTGCTTTCTTTATATCGTTATGTTGAATTGCCTGGCAAAACGTGATTGGAGAGGTATGTATGCTACTTCAGTTTGAAGTACATCAGTTTTCCAGATGATCTTTGCGAGCCTGCATACCTTATTGATCTTTATGTTAATGTATTGTAGAGAGTAACCCAGTGTAGCAGAACTGTTCACACCACATACAGCGCACTGCGTGCAACTAGAAATTATTTTTCCTTGTATTTAATCAAGAACCCGTTACATCGAACAATATTTCGAGTGCAAAACTTCATTGAGGCGCCATTTTACGTCATGTATCATCAACTTGTGTGATGGAATGTAGAGAACTCAGTACATTTTGATTTCGGCTTCTTGTAATGTAGGCATTAAGTTGGAGCAGTATGAAATTATTTTTTGACAGATATTCCTCGATATCGAGGGACGCCGTGGCGTAGTTGGTTGAGGCACTATGCTACAAGCCGGAAGGTCTCAGGTTCGAGTCCCGATGAGGGGGATTTTTTCTTCAGTTTACGCAACCCTTCCAGCCGCACTATGGCCCTGGGATCGACCCAGCCTCTAACAGAAATGAGTACCAGGAATCTTCCTGGAGGTAAAGGACGGCCGGTGCGTAAGGCTGACAACCTCGCCGCTGTCTGTGAGCCGATTATCTAGAAAATGTGGGAGCCTCGACGTCTCGCAACCCTATGGGCATCCACGGCCGTTTACAGAGATAGCTTTACCTTTTTTATCTTGATTTTTCTCTGCGTTATCTTTCGGTATATTTGGAACTGCGTCATTTGCAAAGAAGAGAGTGTTCTAGACGTGAAGCATTTATCTGTAAACTATTGTGAAAGAAAACTTGTCAAATGAAGACAAAAACCCTAAGATAAAATGACTCAATACAGGCACCAGTCTGGGCGATCCATTGGTTTTTCAGCATAGTATTATCGTCCCTGGAATTCTACAGACGATTCGCTGTAGTGTCCCATCAGACGCCTAATCAGAAAATAGCGAGAACTTCATTTTTCTGCAATTTAAATAATTGTCGGTTAGCAAATGAGAATTAATCTCCAAAGGTGCATGCTCTACAGTGTCACTTTTACATGCAATAGGAAAACTGAGCGGAGCCAGACAAGAATTCTGTCTGCTTTGACGTGTGGTCATTATATCGAAAACTGGTGGGAGAAGGAGATATGGTCTAATTACTTGGATGAAAGAAGATTGGCGGAAGAACAACGCATGTAAGTCGGAACAAAAGAGAAGTGTGCGTATAATGTATTTCTCATTGACACAGTTCACACGGTTTCCCTTATCAACTACTAAGGTAGCCACCTGAAAGACCCTCTAAACTTCAGTTACTAGTTCCATACGAACTTGAGCTGCTTGTCTAGGAAATTGAAGTCGACCTTTGAGACACTTGCTTGTTAACAGTGATGTGTTTCGCATGACCTACTTGTTGTGTTATAGAGCGATGTTAGATGTGACCATTAGAATGCATATTGATGCATGACAACGTTAGGTGTAGGATTGAAGATCAGTTTGTGCATTTTCTATTCTTGTACGAGTACCGAGAAAGTAGGGCATATAAAAACTTGCTCGTATCAACAGATGTCCATTCTAAAAATTCTGCTGACCTTCGGCATACCATACGGAGTAGTGGTCTACACAAGCAGGAGGTCTGGAAGTTACAGACCAGGTCGCTAATGTTTTGTCCCAGCCCGACTGTTCGTCCTGCTCAACCTATATCTGCTTTTAGATGTTCTCGCGTAAAATTAAAATAAATTTGTAAGTAGCTTACATCAGGAGCCGGGATAGCTCAGTCGGTATGGTAATGTGCTGGATGACCGGGGTTCAGTTGCTGCCAGGGGGCAAAAGATTCTTCTGTACTCCACAGCTTCCAGACCGGGTGTGGTGCCCACCCAGGAGCCGATATTTACATAAATTTCCATGCTCATTTAATTAATGTTAGTTCTTCATTTTGTTTGTGCGTGCTTGGATTGTAGTAATGAACATAACATTCTTGCGTTGAATGTTAACCTTTTAGTCGTGAACGTTCGTAGTGCAGGGGGAAACAGCTATGAGCGATATTGATATGGGCTGTTAGGAAACAGAATGTCACTATCTGTACATGCAAGCACGTATGTGTGTCTTTTGTTGGGTCTGAGATTTGGAAACGTTGCTTATAATAAAAACCAAAAGAAGTTATTAATTGAGTAATTATGCTTTGTAATCAACGAGAAGTGTTCATTGCGGAGTTTACAAGGGCCCGCCGTTGGTCCCTAATCTCAGTTGTATGGATCCCATACACTCCTCCGTTAAAAGTAAAGAAGGTAAAGTTGTCCCTGTGCTTAACTAATTAAGCACTATGCCCTGAAGGCGTAGGGGGGAGTGGATGTATAGATCCACATTTTCTTGACCTCTGCATTAGCTGGAGGTGAGTGGTCAACTTCATCCGCTCTACCCCCGGGGAAAGAGCCCCCAGCACCCATTGGATAGGTTAAGTGGGCCCCAGAGCCTGGCTGGACGACGTGGAGAAAATTCTTGACCCTACCGCGACCCGAACTCCGACCCCTTGGTCGTCCAGCCCGTAGCTAGTCGCAATACCGACCGCGCTATCCCGGCTTCTATACACTCCTTCGCCGTATTTTTCTAAAGTCTACTCGTATTGTAATATCCTATCTACGCCTGTCATCCAGGTGATATGTCATTCTGGTGTTGAAACCAAAATGTTTGTATGTATTTCTCATCCGTCCTATGGCCCACTCACCTCACCCTCCTTGATTAAATCATGCTAAGTGTACAGACTGTGAAGAGTTTGTCGGTCTGCTGTTTCAAACAAAAGCAAAGTGGCCAGCTTCGAAAACTAAACTTTTTTAAAGTTTTTTATGTGTGTACATACTCGTATATGAAATTATATGCGAAGTCAGTTACAGATGAGTGATCTGTTCAGGATTATTGGTGGCCCACCCGAAAATAATGTTGTCATTATTGATGCAGTTGCTTGTACTGAGGACGAGGAAATCTTTCCCATCTGCAACCATGATAAACAAAAATCATTTATACCTACTTACCACTCGGCGCTACAGCCCTGGGTGAGCCTTGGTCTCCTCTACAACCAGTCTCCACTGCTCTCAGTTCCTCATCTTCTCTATCCATCCTTTCACCTTCATCTTCTGCTCGCTCTCAACATCGTCTGGCCATCTCAACCTGGGTCTTCCTTTTATTCTTTTGGTATAGAGCCTTCCTTTTAACATTCTCTTTGGCATTACATTTTCCTCCATTCTTTCGACATGTCCCAACCATCTTATTCTCCGTGACTTGATAAATCTTACTGTAGCTTCTCCTTTCAGTAAAGCGTTTGTTTATCTCTTCATTGTATCTTATCCTCCATATAATATTTTCCATCACCGGTCCGTATATTTTGCATATTATTACTAAAATCATTCCATTTCTACATATTTAATAGACAGCACTAGAGTAATAGTATCTTACACAACCCGTACTCGGTAAGCACGATGACGGCTTGCCAGTAAGTTACTTTGTTGTCACATTTTTATGCTAATCAGCATCGTCTGACTCGTCAGCATTTCGGGGTTGACATCACTAGTTTCGCCGTTGGAAGTGTTGGAAACTGGAACAAGGACATATTAGGCGCCGTGTACCACAGAGGTCTTATACTCTTGATGAATTCGTGAAACTGAACGGCAGTGATGAACTACAAGTACGGGGTGTCCGTAAATGATTGATATGCTTTTGATTTGTTATACCAAGGTAATTATTACAGCTATAAAGCTGTAACTAGCGCCATTTTAATGACAAACTCTGAAAGTTTTACATATCCTAAAGATGGCTCGATGTGAGTTCCATTCGCTACACGACAATGTCCAGTCTGTAATCCAGCGCATCGCATACTCTTTCTAACATGTTCCTGCTAGTTATCTCGAAAGCTGCTGTAATTCTGAACTTCACTGCATCAATATCCAGTGGTAGAGGTGACACAAACACTTATTCCTTTAAATAACCCCACAGAAGTGTCCTGGCCCGCAGAACACTGGTGCACGAATTTGTTTCCGCGTACTCAATTACGCAAAAGCAATTCTCTATGGGAGACGCTGTTTTTGATAATTGCGAAGCCTGGCGGTAAAGATAAGTACTACGGAGATATACCGTCAATGTTAAAATCTCTGAGAATTTGACTTTCCCCTGATATCGGTTGTGTGTGGATAGACTTTGTAGTTTCCTCGTATTTTATGCCTGAAAGTGCACCAGTCATTCACGGACACCTGTATCTTAGAGTTCCAGTACAATCAGGTACTGTTTATATGTACCCGGCAAGCGCAGTCATTAAAATGTCATATTGCTTCTGGGTCTTAAAAACCTGCAGTGGTTGCAGAGCGCGAAATTGGCGTCCCGTATAGCGGACCAACCTTCTATTCGTGGAGGCCCCCCTGCGTTTTCACATCATGGTGCTCTAAAGTCTTTGCCTTGTACGTAGGATAGTGTAATTTTTTTTTAAGTTTTCCCCCCACGTGATTGGTAGCCCTTTAACAAAATATTTGTTTAATACAGTGACTTGCCATATCGACAGAAACTAATTTGCCATTAGAGACAAGGATGGAAATGGTCCAGAATGGCAGCAGTTCTATATAGGTGTCACCGATTTGATTTCTGCCGTATTCAAAACAGTAGGCCCGAGACAAGAAGAAAACTATGAATATAACCTATAGTCGCTTATATGCATT